GCTTGGACATCGGGATTGTATGCCTCGATTCTAAGTCCTGAAGGGGGCGCAAAACAAACATGAGTGGACCAAGTTGATATATATATATATATATATATAATAAAACAGTTATCAACGTACTAACCCCCAGGTTTTATGAAGACACATATATATCATGATAAACATAGGTTTTCCGAAACCTAGCATGCTATGCAATGTCTCAAATCATAACTTGTAAATATAATAATCACTAGTGAATGTCCAATAACTCTTCAGGCCCCATGTCGGCTTCCCGTCCCTGTGCTAAATAGCCAAAGGAAACACACTCCAGGCCCTATGCCAACACCATACCGTCACCCGGGACGGACCAGAATCTATCCCTACGTCCCGTAGCGGAAAGGACCACTAGGTAAGTATAAAATCAGTGAACATACATATATTGAAAATCAACTTCATAATATAAAGTCATCCATCACCTATACTATAAAGAGGTGTTCTAAACATGTTCTAAATATCATATCGTCATCCATCGGATATTCTATAAGAACATGGGTTATAGGAAAAATATTAATAATTCAAACTAGCCTCAGTAAGCATGTTATCTCATAAAACGTTCCATAAAACATAATCATCAAATCATGTTTTTCATGTATGCATTTCTACTATCAAAACATGCATTTTTAGAAGGGTTCCACTCACAGTACTTCACCGTCCAAAAGCCACGCCATCTAACAAAGAAAGAAACGCCACAGATAATTGCCCCTAAGCATATAAATGGTACATTTAGTCAAACTCTACTCAAACGACTAAATTTGGGAAAATGGACATCGAAAACGAGTTCAGGACGTCGAAATTAGCCTAGGAGGGGTCCCGCACGAAAACCCAAAAAGTCCCCAAAAGTTAACGTTGATCGTTGACCGATTAAAGTCAAAGTCAACGCTGACCGTTGACCGGGTCAGGTCAATTCGGGTCAAGGGTCAACCGGGTTTGGGCCTAAGGGTTTGGGTCTAATGGGTTTAGGGTTAACGGGCCGAAGGCCCTAAAGGAAACGGCCCAAAGGCCTTTAAATTAACAAAAACAAAATAATAAAGGGGTTAGGTTGAGCTGCCCAGGGTTTTGGGCTTGGCAGGAACGGCCCGAAGGCCTGGGGGGTTTTTGGGCTAGGTTTCATGCAAGAGAAGAAGGCCGGAATTCGGCCAGAATTTAGACAAACTTTGAACGTCCATAACTTTGTTAATACTCGACGAAATCAAGTGATTCAAAAATGAAAATCGTAGCTCTCGAAGACACGAAGAGAATGGTACTTACACGACGTCTAACTCACCGTGGTTTGGCTGGAAAACAGCTCGAAAGTCACCAAGGTCGCTGGAAACTGGGTAAGATTCAAAAGGATATACCTTCTTCAATATTCCATGAAATTGGGTGTAACAAAAAGGAAAGTTGTAGTACTTGGCGAGATGAAGAGATTGATACCTTTCATGCCAGCCAAATTGCCGTGGGCCGGAAATTGCCTCGAAAGCCGTCGGTTTCTCACGGGAAATCCGGGGAAGTCTCCCCGACGTGCTTCTTCGTGATTTGACGTCCAAAACACACCACTGGGTCAGAACAGAACTATAAGGATGAAAAGAGAAGCATTTTGAGTGTTTTATGGCTTACCCAAAACGGAAGGACGAGGAACTCGTCCGAGTTTCTCTGTGCTCCACAGAAATGAAGAAAAAGAGAGAGAGTTAACATGGTGATGATGGTGATGTTGTCGTCGTTGATGAGGTGTGGGCATGGGTGTGTGTGTGTGTGTGTGTTCTTGTCTGAGAAAATAGCACCGAGATGGGGGATAAAGAGATCACAGAGGAAGAAAGAGAGAAGAGATAACTGAGAGAGAAAAGAGACTTTTTAGAAGAAAAAAAAAAGAAAGGGAAAGGGAACTGGGGAGGACAAAACAGGGGGTGGGCCCCTTGGGCTCACCAATTAAGACCCAAAAACCAATTTTAAAAGAAGAAGATCTAGCCCAAAGTGAAATTTCATGAAAATACCCCCCTTTGTTATGATAAAATTAGGTCGGGTTGTTACACCCATATTTGTCACGTCATCAGTTAACGGTTTACTTAACAGATTTTCTAATGAATGTATGAAATTGAAATGCTTTAAAGATGTTGTTTGAGGTTGCAATCAACCCCAAACTTGAGGGGGTAAAATATAATTTACCCAAAAATAAAAATAAATAAACAAATTCACAAATAAAATGGAAAACAAAAATGAAGATTGGAAAATATCAAGCCCCCGCCACCTATCCAAGCTCAATCTGCGACCACTGAAACTCCATCCCAACCTTTATATTTAAAACCAACCAATTAGGAATATTATGGTTAACATTAATATTAGTTGTCTTAAAATCTAAATTTCACACGTAGACTAAATAATATGGAACTCAATGATCAAATGGGTATTGATTGAGTCGAAAATGGACCAAATTGAAATTACATCAGTCAGGCAATCTCATAACAAATAAAAGGGGTTAAGAATTTAGATAGAATTTTAAGGAGTTTGTTTTTGTTCATGTGAATTCCTCCACCAATTCTTGACTCATAGAGCTTCGAATTCTTCTTTATGGGTAGTGAAAATGATGGTGGCCGTATCATGGCAGTCCATACCATTTTAGTAACCTCCATTACCTTATTCTCGATGTTGGCGGCTGGAGTTGTAGGGTAGAGTTAGTGATCGTGCATTGGGTTTGTTGGTGATAGCCTGATGGGGGGTGATTGTTAGTTGGTGGAGGCCATGCTTCCATGACATTCTATTGATTTTTTACACAAAGTAAGTCCTAGTTAATTTAACTGGGGCTTAATTGATGTGACATTTTCAATAGGTTGGATATTTGTATGAAATATTTAAAAAGGTTGAGACCAATTTGAAATGACACTAAAAGGTTTAAAAGTTTTAGGTACGTAATCCTTTTATTATGTATTGCAATTGGACATGTCCATATGTTTACAACATATGAGTCGCCTTTTGCCATACAACAATATTTTGCATTAATAAGTGGGGGATTGGAGCTATACCAACAATGTCACGTCTCGGCTCGGGCTCCCATCACATCTCGAGCTCGACTCCACCGTAACATGATATTTTTCGCTTTGGGCCCCGACCACGCCCTCACGGTTTTGTTTCTGGGAACTCACACGAGAACTTGGGTCACCCATCATGGGATTGCTCTCGCGCGCTACTCGCTTAACTTTGGAGTTCCGATGGAACCCAAAATCAGTGATCTCCCAAAAGACCTCGTGTTAGGTAGAGATAAGAATATACATATAAGGCTTACAGGATCCACTCTCCTGGGTGATGTGGGATGTTACAATCCACCCCCCTTAGGGCCCGACGTCCTCGTCGGCACACTTCCGCCCAGGGATTGGCTCTGATACCAAATTGTCACATCCCGCCCCGGGCCCCCACCACATCCCAAGTTTGACTTCACCGTAGCACGATATTGTCCGCTTTGGGCCCCGACCACGCCCTCACGGTTTTGTTTCTGGGAACTCACAAGAGAACTTCCCAGTGGGTCACCCATCATGGGATTGCTCTTACGCGCTACTCTTTTAACTTCGGAGTTCCGATGGAACCCGAAGTCAGTGAGCTCCCAAAAGGCCTCGTGTTAGGTAGAGATGAAAATATACATATAAGGCTTACATGATCCACTCCCCTGGATGATATGAGATGTTACAAACAAGGTGTTTGCATAATAATGTGGTAATGAATTCCCTTTTCACGAAAGTTAAACCTATGGCCTTTCATGTACAAATAAAGAAGAATACTACTATAATGTTGTTGTTGTTGTAGTAGTAGTAGTAGTAGTAGTAGTAGTGATATTATGAGTTGGTATTATGAGTTGGCTTTTACAAATGGGTGTCTATATTATTGTTCTTGAGGTTCAAGAAATTAAGGTCTTGAGTTAAAAGAAACAATGTGATTAGTGGTATTTCTCTTTAACTGTAAGTGACAAGTCCCAGGTTTGACTCACTTAATTGACGAGTTTGATACCTGATTATTCTGATTATGAATACTCTTTTGGTATAGAAATATTGTTGTTAAGTTTAAAGAACTAGATAGTTTAGGAAGAATGATATATATATTACAAATATATAAAAATTTATCATTTATACAAGCTATATTGAGAGAGATATTTGAGCACACCTTGAGTTCTAGTTTATAACAAATGTTTTTAATCACTTGAGCTATAATTAAGCCCCTAACTACTTTATAACAATGTTTTAAAACTAGTAGATGGATCAACATAGAATAAATGTGTGACACATTTTTATACATTTATCAGCCATACAATTCATATTTTGCATAATTATTTGCAATTATTATTGGTGTGGTATTTGTTTATTATATATATCAAAATGGTTGATATATTGACTTTTTGTTGTTTTCACATTCGTCGGGAAGAGAATGTATTTGCGGATAGTTTTGATAATCTGAGCTTGTCTTATTCATCTTTGATTATCTGCCCTCCTTTAGTACTTCTTGCTGATTTGCAGTTGAATTTCTAAGCTTGATTGGTTTCTGATTTTCAAATTAACAGTTCCCTTTATTACTTCATTTTGCAAGGTTTTGGTTGATGATGTCCGAATGTTGTTTTGTCTTTACCCTTGTATTATTAATAACACTTGTACAAATTTACACAAGAGAGCAGGGGGATTTTTTTTTGGGTACTATAGTCCTCTTTGCTTTCAGAGAGGATATGTGCCTCGCACACAACTATTACCGAAGAACTAATATTGTTCTACAATTGAGTACGTAAAAAATGTAACTACAAAGAGATTTGAAGCCAAATGGTCCCCGAACCCCAATGTTCTATTGGCCCTTCACCGTTATCTCTTCTATCAAAAGAAATAGTACAAAACTACTTTCCAAAAACACGTGGTCACAAGACAAGAGGTGTTGTGGAGGGTAGAGAAACATGCACCGCGCCAGAAGATCAAGGCCTTCCTCTTCCTCATATTTAAGTTGGGATTCAGATTTGTGAGAGAGAGAGAGAGAGAGAGAGAGAGAGAGAGAGAATGAGTTCAATGAAACGTTGTTTGATGTGATTTTTGCATGCAATTCTTAATCTGTTTTGTTGGTGACATGCATTGCAGGTTGAGTGGTTAAGAGAGTGATTAATGTAATTACAATTTATACATGCATAGAAACATTAAACGTATACATAAAATGCTGGATCCGGTCGATGTGGATATTGCAGATTCTGATTTTCTCACCAACCAATCAGATCTTGATGACTCTTCCGACTCCGACATTGATAATTACTGCTTGGCTTTTACATGCAAGAACCGATTGTTTGGTCGCCAGAAGCCTCTCCATGTTGTCCTTGGCGCCGGTGTATGTACGTAAATTGTAACTGTAATTTTTCTTTTCCATTCTGATTGCTGTAAATTCAAGACTACTTATTAATCTAAAGTGAAATTAATTATTGTTTTTCAGCTGCTGATATTATACTTTGGAGGAACAAGCAGATCTCAGCCTACATTTTTATGGGTGCAACGCTCACATGGCTTCTATTTGAGAGATTAGGTTATAGTTTGGTTGTGTTTTTTTGCCACGCTTCATTGCTCTCCTTGACAGCCTTGTTCTTGTGGTCCAATTTTGGTTCCTTAGTCCATGTGTGAGCTCCTTGATTTTCTTTTATTTAAATGGATTCAAAACAAAAAATATGCATAAATAGAACCGGTTACAAACTTTTGTCGAAAATAGTACTAAGAGGACACTAAACAGACAATAAGTTGTATATAAATCACGTTTTAATGCCCTTTTATTGTATGTTTAGGGTTCCTCCGGTTATGTTTTTTATTTGAGTTTGCAAGCGGTTATGTTTGTGCTTTTTTTTTTTTTTTTTTAATTGGTATTTTCATAGGTGTCTGTGTTATGATTTCTGGATAGAATATGATCATGAAACAGGTCTGCACCAGAAATTCCAGAGATTGTAGTACCACAGCACCTGTTTATGAGGACTGCTATTTCCATGACAACTACATATAATCAAGCATTAAGATCATTTGGGCAAGTAGTTTTTGGGACAGATATAAGAGATTTCCTCGCGGTACCGACATTTTTATCTGCTTCTAGGCTTTGTTTATGCTGTAAGAATAGTAAGTTCTGATTGAATTTTTCAACTTTGACGTAATGAACTCGTTTGCAGGTGGCTGCAACTTTGTGGGTTCTGTCTGTTGCCGGAAGCCGGTGCAGTTTCTTGAGCTTCCTTTACTTAGGTTTGCATCAGCTCCGGCTGTTTCATCCCTACTATCGAGCTTTTAGTCCTATAGGATTATGAACTTTTACTGCCATTGATACTATTTGCAATGCTTACATCAGATTCCTCTTTCTGATTCTTGAATGAGTCCCCTAGAAGGCTTAGTTGATCCTCGATTTATGTTTTGCCTATTTCTTGTATATCTTCTTGTTGCATCGAAACATTTGCTCACTAATCTGCCAAGTAAAATGACAACGTTGGTTTAGTTTTGTATAATTCTTTTGTGATTGTTCGCGCTTTGAGTCGATTGTTTCCATTCACTCTACTTCTTGCAAGCAATGTTGTACATACATCATTTTTTGCAGAGTATATGCTAATCGTGGTCGCCTCTCTTGTCAATTGTATGCTTATTTATTGCATCCACATAGGAAGGCGGAAACGAACTTGGGACATCTAAATATTGTGAAGAAAAATACCATTAGACTAATAGTTAGTTAGTCGTGATTTATCTGCTATATGTTCCCAAGACGAGTACTGACTCTTTCGTATCGGTTGGTGCAGTGTTTGTGATACTGATGACCGTGCCAGCGTTGTACGAGAATCTTGAGGATAGCGTGGATAGCATTGCAGAGAAAGCACTGATTGAAATAAAGAAGCAGTATGCAGTGTTGGATGGAAAAGTTCTGCAGAAACTCAAAAAGAAAGTAATTTCTTACAAGAACAAAAAGCAGCCCTAATTTTGAGGCTCTGCTGGACTTTTCTTCTTCTTCTTCTTCATATAGTTGGTACGGTTCATATTTCGTTCTTGCTTGTTTCGTTCCCTCGGGTTCGGATGTAGAAAAATATGTTGCTTTCTGTGTTTCAATAGTAGCCTTGTTTAGTTTTCCTTGAGGAGTACTGATCAAGAAAAGTAATCATTCATCTTCCTTGTTCGATTGAACAAAAAGTAATTGTTCATATTTCAGTTTCTGATGTGAAAGAAATCGAAAGCAACGTATAATCGTGCATGACACGAGCAAACTTCTTCATCCTTTTTGGATAGACACAACTTCTTGAATATACTCTCTTCACACATTAATAGGCAACTACAAAAGTTTAACATAAGGTGCTAACCTCCCAACACTACACATTAGCTACATGCATCAACTTAAGCTCTAGTTAGTAACAAACGGCGAAATCCACGTCCATAAAATTGAAAGGACAAGGCAAAAAGAAGTGATTTACGCTTTGACCTCCTCTTTCGATCCTGGCGGTAAGAAGGGCTCCCACCACCCGGATTCATACTTGGAATAAGGTGCTACCCATTTCTGCGGCTTCTCAAACTCGATCTTGGTTGGATTGGAGGCTAATGCTTCTTCTAGACTTGCAGCTTCAAAACTTTCTGCCAACACTCTGTCCAGTCTCAGCTTCATAAACCTGCAGGCGCAAAATATGATCAGATTCAGAGACACTGCCACCATTGTAAGCGTCACAACTTTCATATTTCTACTTATGTACACCACATGAAGATACTTCTCATATCGAAACATCATGTCATCTAATTTTTTTTTTTTTTTTTAGCTGAGAAGGAATTGTTGTTAGCATATCTACACTTCAATCGTGTAGAATCTCATTTTACATAGTTGTTACCTTGGTAGACAACGTAATCATTCTCAAGAAGCTTCAAGTTTTGGGGATTACCGGTTTTCTAATATCATATCGTAGCTCTAGTTGCCTGAGATACTGGATTCAAAAACCACTCTAAACCCCCTTTCCATCACTTATTTGTTAAATTAGAAGATGCAAGGTGAAGATCCACATGTATGAATCTCTATGTCCGCCTCTCAATGCGCAGGATAAGGCTGCACACGACAGACGGTGCTAGCTTGACATACAGTTAACTCTTTCTTTAACAACTTGAGCTGTTGAATTCTAGCCATTGTCTAGCAGCCGATTCTACAAATTGATCGATCAAATCTAGAATCTCAGCACCATCAAACTTTGTCACAATACAATTTGACACTAACAAACAACAGCAATTCCCAATTCATTCAACCTCTGATCCTGCTAGACTACATCAGTACTTAACTAACAAAACATACGTATCTAGCAACTTCGATGTAAATTTCGATCCTGAAACGAAACAAGCTCGAACAAAACAGCAAACAGAAAACAACAAACCGAAGCCGAGCAAGTTCGCAGTGATGGTGAATTTAGGAGTAAAGAAAAGGGAGAACATACGTAATCCAAGGTCCGTTAGTCGAAACCAGGGCAACGGCAGGCCTTCCTAATCTCTTAGTAATGTTAGGAAACTTATCCAAGAACTTGGGCTCGATCACAAGCCAAAAGTCCTGCTCTTTGTTCTTCTCTCCATAGTATCGAAGCCGCTCACACAATTGCTCCTGGAAATGCTCCTCGTCATCGAGCATAAACTTCGCATTCGCAACCACGAAATAGTACCTGCTCGGCTTTTCCTGCATTCAGAAACACAAAAAATGGAAAATTTACAGTCTTGCATGAGAAAATGAGAAACAAAAAATGAAAAGAATTTATGGGTTGGAGAGATAATTGAACCTTATCGGCGGAATCGGAGGAGCTGAGCTGGTCGGAGTCGACGGCAGCGACAGATGTACGGACGGAGGAGGAGGAGGAGGAGGAGGATTTGAGGGTTGTTTTGGGAGGGAAGGAGAAGAAGTGGTTGCAGCTGGAATTGGCTGAGAGAGGAAGAGATAAAGATTTGGGTTTTGGATTTCGGATGTGGGTTTGGGAGATGGCGGTGGTTGGTTTCGATTTCACGGCGGCGGCGGCCCAGCATGCCTGACCGAGAGTTGCCACGGCTGACATTGCTCCTTCGGTTCTTCTTCTCCTTCCCCTGCGTGTCTTTCCTTCGATATAATAAGCAAAGCCAGCCTTATCTAGTGTTATCTACATTACTTATCTTTTTCATTATACAATTACATATTATATATGTTTTTATGTTCAAGACAATTAGACAGAGGGTATCAATTTATATGGCACTGTTATTTTAGTATTTCATAATAATAATACGTTATGTGAATGAAAATTTATATATATTTGTTGTATTCTTAACACTAGACGACACAATTTCAAATAGTCTTTCTCATGACATATGAACAAATTCTTTACAGAAAACAAATTGAAGCAATATGATATAAATTTTGTTGCAACATGCTGTTTATCCTGAAATGGTATTTTTCACATCTAAAATGCCGTTCAAAAAGTTGTGCATCTTTTAAGGATACTGTAACGTTTGAAATTTCGCACACACTCTTTTTGAAATAGCACATTTCTTTAATTTTATGTTTAATTGGGATTTTGTAACAATGCCTAAAGTTCCAATACTCATTATGGGTGGCCTTATGTCCTTTTAATAATACTGAAAAGATTGTATTTTTGTACCATATTTCCACGCTACATGATATAATGAATGATATGTACATACGATATCGATTATTGTTGCGTTCAAACTAATTGCTCTCGTTCCTAAGTTGGAAAATCTATAATTTGTTTCTCGGTTTAGAGCTATTAATCAGTGTAATGTAGCTTAAAAAATCTGACTTGCATTACAACCAAGGGGCTTTTGCTCCTGAAAGATCGATTGCAGATAAGATTTTAATAGCTCATGTGGTTTTCAGTCGTCAATTTATTTTCAACGAACACGTCTCCAAGTCGCAGTATCTCTATCAGTCAGAGTTTACAAATTCAAAATCATAATACTATTGGCAAATATCTAGCAATCAACAATGTAGTTTTCTGGAAAGAACTAGGTTTCTCTCTTCTCTTCTTTCCATCTCCTCCTTTTACATTCTCTTATTTGTCTTTCTCTTGTTATAAAAAATTAATATAAGATGTCAACGTGGCTTAATCATAACCGTTCAAATAGGAAGGAAGGGAAGAGGAGAGAATCCTACTCCTTATGGAAAACCAGTTTTGCGTCAAGAGCTGGTAAGTTCACTTTAATCAAGTCTCCTAGCACCACAGATAATAAAAGACCTCTCTGCATGCCCCTTCACAATAACTCACACGTAACATGCCGTGATAAAAAATAAAAAAAAAACTAACGAAAAGTTCAAAAAAACTTTAGTTTTAATAAAAAAATGACAAATAAAGGTGTTGTGAATAGTACTAGAAAAAGGTAAAAATATGATTTTTTTGTTAAAAATAAACAATACCATGAGTGTTTAGTTAAAACGTCTTGAAAAAGAAGTCTCCAGCATGCGCAGAGCGTGCGTATAGAGGCTAGTTTAGGTCAAGTCTGAAATCCTTTTCAGGTGAAAATTTAGGTGACAATTCAAAAAAGCTTGGGATGGAGAGCGACTGAGGTGAATTCGCAGTTTGTTCAAGCCCATTGGGCCTGTGTCCTGTAATTCAAGCCCATTTATAATTAAAAAAAATTAAACACAGGCGGAAAGCATCAGTTCAAGGCAAGTCAAAAGCGTAAAATGCCGTTCTCGACGGTGGCTTCCCCTGTTAGATTTCTCATTACACGATCGTCCTCCGTCGCCAGAGCCGCCTTCCTTCCTCCTTCCTCCTTCTCCACCTCCGCCAAAAAACCACCAATTCCAACTCTTTCTTCTTCCTTTACCTCCGCCGCCGGCGCCATTCATTATACTTTGTTTATAAAACCCAAACAGATGGCTTCGCAGATGGCTTCGGAGAGCTTCAAGTTCGGGCCGTACAAGATCGACGGGAGGGGAGTGTTCTACACCACCAACCTATCCTACGCCATGGTTAACCTGCGGCCTCTTGTTCCTGGTACTTTTCGCTCACTCTTAACGCTGAATAATCAAGCATGAAAATTGAATGTAAAAGTTGCAAATCTGATGACCCAATTCTCCTTTTTCTTTGCAGGTCATATCCTTTTGTTTGCTTTGAAAGTAAAATTTTTTTTGGGATCGATGAATAAATACGTTGTTAATTTGTTATATAAGAAAGAAAAAAAAAAGTTGGCAAATTTCCTTTTTTTCTTCTTTATTAGGGATAGCGTTAGTGGGTTAAACAGTTAGTATTTAGGGGGAAGAGAATCAGTAGAGATTGAATCAACACCAGGTGTATAGGCATGGTTGCTTTTTGCCACCACGGTAAAGAGCCATCTGCAGGCTATTTCCTTGTTTTAGTGCCCTTTTTCTTGATTGGAGATTTAAGGCAGCATGTGGGTTTGTTTACTGATTGATTGGATCATACTGGTGAGTAGTGAGTATGGATGTCAAAGGAAAGGGTGCTGGTTTTTCGTTCTGGATCAAAAGGGAAAAGTCTTTTATCCGGCTTGATTTTTGGTCCGAAACGGTTTTCTGTGGCACCAAAATGTAAGCAGCAGATGGTAGATTCAGCTGGTTGCGATGCTTGAGTCTTAAGACCATGCTACAAAGTGCATCCCTTTTTATTATTAGATATTGACTGGTTTCTTTTGGACCACGGGTCTGTATATAGTTTATCATGGACCAATATGTGTGCCTAACTGCCTTTCTCATCTGCATATGTTGAAATACAATGGCCAAGCATCATGTGTATTTAACCCCCGACTATCCAGATTGATCCTCTTTTCCGTGTTGTTATGTGTGCAAACTATACCCATTTTATTATGGCACTATAGTATGCCCGATTCAATCATGCTTGACTTAACATCCTGTACATGTGCTTGTCTGCCCAAGGCGTGAAGTGAAACGCTTTGGTGATCTCACTGCTGATGAGACCAGTGACCTTTGGATCACAGCGCAAAAGGTTGGTAATCAGCTGGAGAGTTACCACAAAGCATCATCTCTCACACTTGCTATTCAAGTAAGAATTTCAGACCTTTAACTTTTTTTTGTTAGTGAACAATATTTGTGTTTGGCCTGGTTTTCAGTCAGTTATTTTGCCCTTGAGATCTGTTACTGATGTTACTTTTAACCAAGTGATCACTTAATGCCATATATTCATAAGTCGTTCCTGTTTATCACCACATAAAGCATACAACTTAGATCATTTTTGCTTGTTACTGTTCTAATCTAAGAGTGTATGTATCTAGATATTTATTTCTTCATGTATATTCATATTTTGGTCGTACTTTAAAACTTCCTCCAAGCTGTTAGGTTTCTTTTCACTTCCATATCACCTACCAATTATGCTTTGAACTTGTTATTTGAGGTTGAGCGGGTTACCTACTTTTCATGTGGTATTCCATGGCAACAGTTTTGCTTTATGATATTTGTTGGGAGACGGTCCTTCATTCTCAAGTTCATATCTTAGGCTCTGAAATTTTTGTTGCTGCACATAGTAATGGTTTTATGTCCGCCCAAGCCAACTTTGTCCTCATTGTTTGTAGGATGGACCCCAAGCCGGACAGAGCGTACCCCATGTTCATATCCATATCCTCCCACGGAAAGTTGGTGACTTTGAGAAGAACGATGAGATTTATGATGCAGTAAGATTGGAACGTCTATTTCAGGTTTTACTAACACTTACTAATTCGCATGTTTTAGCCTCGAGTATTTACTTTTTCTGTGTTCAATGCTATAGCTAGATGAAAAGGAGAAGGAATTAAAGCGAAAGCTAGATTTAGACCAGGAAAGGAAGGACAGAAGCCTTGAGGAAATGGCACAAGAAGCCGAAGAGTACAAACAGTTGTTTTAGAAGGTAGAATCTGCATTGCAGATGTTCGATATGCACAGCACAATATGTAAATTTTTTCTCACTGGATGTTTCCAGTGTGTTTGGATGCGTTACTATGATTGTAGCTGGTCGGAGTTTGATAGTTGTGTAAGCGTCAGTCGGATCCCGATTTATACTCGTTTGTTTATGTTTATTGACAACAGTTTCATCATACATTCCGAACAGATTCAACCATCATTTTTCTAAATCTCGAAAGTAGTCACATTCACGACCGAAGCGTCGAACAAAAGACCATTATACAGCATGCTTAATTTATGGGGAAAAAAAAAAATCAATTTACGTTGCAACACCAAAGGAATTTCACAATTAACAACCAAATAGTTGTTATCGGTCCAAAAGACAAGCTTTGTGACAATAGTTGTTATAGGTTCGGTTCTGTTTCTCCAATGGCACGTGACTTATCGGTCCAAAAGACAAGCTTTGTGACAATAGTTTTAACAACCAAATACAAGGAACAAACTCAGACTTGTGCGTAGCCATATTGTCAAGAACAGATGCACCCCTCCATCAATTCGAGTTCAGATCTCTCTTTTCGCACATTACATTAATTTAAAGGAAAACTAATGAAAAAAAACTTGAAAACTTTGAGTTTTAACGATAAGAACAAAATAAAGGGTAAAGTGGATACTATCAAGATTGACTTTTTAGTATAAAATGTGGTTTTTCATTAAAATAAACAGTACTGGGAGCATTTCGTTAAGGTTTCCTTAATTTAAAGTAGAATATTGCATGCATGGGCCTCGGCCTGCAATGGTTGGTTTCTTTGGGCCTTCGGGGCGCCGAAGTTTTCTTCCTCAAAGAACTGGCGGGAAAAGTATTTCTACCGGTAATTGTCTTAATTAATTTCTGACGCCATATGCTATTAAAAGTACGTCTAAAACCTCGACACTCTAAAACAAAAGAGCAGCTCAGAACTCAAAAGTGCTTTTCTTTCCTCCAAAAAATCCTTGCCAACTGATCGTCTCCACAGAAATGCAGTCCATGCTCAAGCTGCAGGACCTTATCGTCTTCTGCTTCTTGTTTTCTTTTCTTTTATTTTTAGTCTAAACCTTTTTTTTGGTGTAGAAATATTTTGGGTTTTCGTCGTTTCGGCCTGTACCAGAAGGAAGTGATTGAGAAAATCATAAGGAAAACGACTCGTTGGTTGTGATGGCCACCGGAAGCGGCAAGTCGTTGTGGTGAAAGCTTCTTCCTTTCCTTTCTCTGTTGTT